AAAGGTCAAAAGTTCTTTGGGGCTGTGCCTGTTCTGGGGATCCCAGTCAGAGTGTTCACAACTGTAACTTCCTAACACGGTTCAAGGCGTACTGTCTTTATCGAACCTAAAAAGATTTAAATGAGTTGAGATCCCAACCCCTGTGGGAAGCTGACAGAGAGTCTGAGCTCAAGAAATGAGAAGAAAGCAGGTAGCAGTGAAGCCTGTCACCAGGACTGAAGAACTGCTTTCATCTGAGGTGGGCACTTTGGGGGCTTCTCAGTTATTTCCCTGCTGCCCCCAGGATGAGACCGAAGCTCTTTGGGGGGTCAAGACCTTTTCACAACTGGGCCAACTTTGCCCTCCATCCTCACCTTTTACCTGTTGTCAAGGTCAGCAGACACCACTTCTCCTCAAGCTCCAGTCACACTGACCCCTATGTTGTGTGAACACACTCAATACACACACAACCAGTGTCTCCACTGCCCTCTCCCCTTCTTTTGATGAGCTTCTATTCATTTCTCAAAGCCTGGATCAAATATCACCCCTATGATGCCTTTGCTTAATGTTGGGTGTCGTTTAATAGAGTTAAAACTTAATCTCTGCATTTAGCTCAGCTGAATGATGTTGGCATGCACAAGATAGACCAGAAAGGGAGCATTGCCTTGGGAGCATGATGGGTCCACGTGACCAATAGGGGGCTATCAAGAATCCCCAGGGCAAACAAAACCCAGCAGGATACCTCCTGTGGGAAGAAATCCCACCATGTCCCATCTCACCTGATGGCTCAGCTGATAGCAACTGGCAGACACAGACCCCCAGTCATAAAAAAAGCCCATGAAAACGGGTTATACAAGAGAGCCCCAAATCCTTGTTAGGGGTAGACATCTCCCATTTGGCCCCCAACTTCCCTTGCAAGAGTCTTTATTTTTTTAAGGATTAATTTATGAATCCAAGAAGTGCTGGGGTGCGTGTGAGAGGATTCACCACAGACAGAGTGGGGATCAGAACAGGCAGAGTGAGTGAAATACACTGCTGAGGGGAGCAGTGGGCAGGTGAGGAAAGGTCTGTCACACCAAGTGGGTCACCTCCCTGGCCGGGAACTGAACTCATGCTGCAGTGACATGGTTAGCTCCATAGCCTGTTCTGCCACCAGGGAGGGCCTGCAAGATTATTTCAATAAATCCTTTCCTGGCTCTGGCAAATTCTTTCACCTCTATATCTCCAGCCTTACCCCAACATTATTACACTGTCACACAATAACCTCTTCTGTACTGGTTATTTTTGCCTTCCAGCTCTGGCAAGACCCGTAGTGTCATAAAGATTATTCTTGTTCTCCTTTCTAAATAGAGAGATCCCAAAGCTACCACCAGTCTGAATTCTGCTTGGAGTCCCCAGCACAGTGTCTGCCACAAAGTGAACACTCTGTAATTGTGCTGAATATGAATGAGTGAATGAATGAGAAGAAGCATGATCTCAATCTACCCACCCCCTTCTTCCTGGGAATGCTGACACTGAGAAATTATCCACCTGTGGAGGAACTGTTATTCCTGTCCTTTTGCCCGGGATAGAAATTCCTTTCCTTTCCTCTTCCCTCGTTTCCTTGTATCCTTGCCTGACACTCCGGGTCCCAAGAGCCTGAATCTTGCTCCTCAGTTCCTGCCTCTCTTGGCTACTGATTTGCCAAGGTATCTACATCTTCATGACGGCCCGCTGCCTGCTGTGGAGTCCGTCAGACTGCTACTGGCCATCTCTGTCCCTGCCAGTTAAGTCCCTGGTATATATGAGGACACAACTAGAGACACCTTCACTTGGGGTGGCTAATTCTCCTGGCATCATGACTGAGGCTTTTGGTAATTGAGTAGTAGACATTTCTACATCTGCTTTTCTGTGGTCCTGCAGGTGTGGAGGACCCTGCTTTGGGGGGATTTTTGTTCTCCAGGCTCCCAGCTCTGACAATTATGGAGTTGCCAGACTGCTTACCGTACTAATTATACAGTGCGGAGAGTATCCTGTTCAACATTGTCCTTGAATGAGAAAAGAATGCCCTTGGAATTCATTTGACTTACCAAGCTTATGTTATTTAGAAACAAAGAGCTTTGTAGAACAATGGAATGACCAATGGATGATTCAGCTGTGTCAGAGTGGGTACTGCCTTGACAAAGAAAAGATAGGCTCTAAGTCAGCAATCAGTATAGAGATGTCCTTTGTAGTCAGACGACTCATCATCGTGCCTGAGAACTTTTTCAAGCATTTGCTTCCGGTCTCTGACATTCTAGGCTCTGGGGAAGGTTTTAGCATCTACAGAGGAATGTTTCTAACCAAGGACCACAAAGATGATCCTACTGTACTTCAGTTCGTTGTGATTAAAGAATCAGAAGAGAGGAGGTCATGGTGTAGGCTAAACTGAAAATAGTTTTCAAGAGAAAGAGTTAGTACTAGTCAGTGAGGACTGAGAGGTAAATGAATGAAACCCAAGGGACCCCAAGGTCTCTACCTGAATCTTTGGATGGCCAGTGAAATCCTACTCGAGTTAGGCTTGGCCTTATTAGAGAGTGTGCAAACCACAAGATCTCTGGAAACATCATCAGGACTTCAGTCTTTGGCTCTGTTTCTGTGTGTTAGCAGAAGCAGATTTTTTGCTTCAAAAAAATGCACAGCACATTTTCTCCTATTCCAGATTGATTTCTTCCACCAGGGAATGGATTGCAATAGCCCTAGGCTCGCAGCATCCCTGCTTTGTCTCCCTTTAACTTTATTTCAGATCATCCCAGAGAAAGAGTCTAACTCTCTGGAGTGGGAGTGGGTTCTTATCCCTGGACTCATCATGCTCCCCTCTGGCCATGTGGTTAGAACTATTGGAAATGGAGTCCAAAGGAGCAGTGGGGAGCAGCTATTCTGGGTTCACCAGAGGAGCAGATGACATCATGGCTTTTTGGCATGGAAGACCTGCATGACACTAGACCACCAAAAGTCATACTTCTTAGGGGTGAAGATTTGGGTCACTTCATAAAGAAGAAAACTGGCTGCAGGCAAAGTGCACTTGCTGTCAGTAGGGCACAGGAAAATCAGGCCTCAGGACCTGATGGAGAACTGGGGTTGAGGTGTCTGCAGGAGGCGTGTTTAAAATTTGAATTATTTCTGCCTTTCCTTTTCTATTTCCTTTTCATTCATAAATTGGAGTTATCGCAATCATAAGTGGTTTCTTTTTCTTCCATTTCTTTTGTTTTTGTATAGAATTTGTTGTTGGAATTTAATTTGCCGTTTAGTCTCTAGGTTGCAGAATGGTGACTTGGAGTCATTTTAGAATGGGCAGGGGACCCTTCATCATGAAGATCAGACTTGAATTCTCCCTTATTTTTTTAAAAAAAAAGGCAAAAGGAATGAATTTTTTTTTAACGTGTTCATTTACGTGGAGACCTGTGGAGGCACTTGTTCCCTCAGCGTAGATTTGTCTTCTCTGTGGGGCTACCCCCAGCAAGAACTTAATTTCAGAAGCCTTAACATCCTTGATACTAGCCAGTGCTTTGGGGTTTCATCATTAGAGTCAGCAATTATTCTGTTCCCTTTGGCAAACTGAGTCCCCACACCCTACACATTCCCCCAAGGAAGAAGGGAGTGAGGGGGATTAAGGCTCAGTAAACAGAAACTGAGAAGAGCAAAAGGCATTGGGGGGGAGGAGGAGGGGCTTTCTGCCTCACTGGGAGTCAGCTACCAGGGCCTGGGTGCAAGACATGGCCCTGCCCTGTCCCAGAGCAGATTTTTCTTCTCCTAAAAATGTAGCTCTCGGGCAACAGATTAGGATGCAGCGCTACAAGTGAGCCACAGCCACTTCAGTGTGAGTTGGATCCCCAGACCCAGAGGTGACCCACATGGTACAGCAGACCTCTCCTGTCTCTCCCGCTGCTCCCCTCAGCAGTATATTTCAGTCCATCTGCCTGTTCTGCTCCCCACTCTGTCTCTGGTGAAGCCTCCCACCACTTGTGTACCTCTGGCCTGTACCCCAGTTCTGTATGCATCAGTAAATAAATCTTTAAAAAAAGAGAGAGAAAGAGAAATGTAGCTCTCAATGACTAATCAAATACACCGAAGCATGGGGACCTGACAAGCAGCCTGGGGGTCTGAGTAACACACTTTTGCTCAGTTCCTGGTGTGCAATTTAATTCCCCATATTGGTCTTGCTTCACGTTAGACCATGTACTGCCAAGAGGTTGTACCTTGGAGGGGAGGAGTCCCTGTGACTACTGACCCTTTACTCACACCTTGGCATGAAGCTATACAACTCACCTGTTGGCAAGTAACCACTTCATACCTGACCATGCACAGCTGCCAATGCAAACCCATCAGAACCTTGTAGAAACCAGAAGTGTATGTAAGCCCCTGGCTTCCCCCGGAAGGCGCTCAGCCTTTCGATGTGAATCCTACCAGCCAGTACCCTTGGCAATAAACCTGCTTCTTATTAGCCCTGGTGTCTAAGTTTCCTTTGTGCAATATAACAAATACATAATTTCAAATTACGATAAATGCTATGAAATTCCCTGGGATCATAGAATGGGGGAACTAGTCTGGCCTAGGAGGCCAGAGAAGGTTTATCTGAGAAGGGAAGATGTATCTGAAAGCCGAGAAAGGAATTTTGGGCAGAGGGAACAGAGTGCACAAAAGCCGTGTGGCTGAATGGAGCAGAGGCCAGTCAGAGATGCCAGGCTGCGGCAGCGCAGGAGAGGCTGTGGCCTTAGGATTTACCCTGCAAGGAGGAAGCTATTGATGGGTTTTAAGCTGGAGGTTGTTGACATGTTCAGGTTTTCATTTTGAATATGTCACTATCTGCAGTGAAGCAAACCGATTAGCAGGGCCTCATGAATGCAGTTAGGTGATAAAACCAGCCCTGCAAGGCTTTGGTGTGGGCAACCCAAGGTGGGGGGAGGCGACCCTGGCGCCGGAGATGGCCGGGAACTGCTCGGCTGAAATCCCGAACCGGCCCACGTGGGCCAGGCCGCCCCGCCCCGCCGCCGCGCAGACGCCGACTCCGCAGTCCAGACTGGCGCCGGGAGCCCTGCACCCCACACCCGCGACCGTGCGGACGTCCAGGCCCAGAGACCCCCCCAGCCCCGAGGGACGAGCTCCCGCCGCCTGGCCCGCGGAACCAGAGGCAGAGGCAGCCTCCTCCGGGCGGGTGAGTCGGGGTCGGGGTCCCGGGCTGGTTTGGGGACCAGCTGCAGTGAGGCGGGTGGGTGGAGGGAGTGTCGCAGCCTCTGCCCAGCTGCTTCCTTTGGGGAGATTAGGAAAGGGGGCCTCCATCCTGTCTCCTGTGATAGCTCCCTCTCCAAGGCTGGAAGGGAAGGGAGGCCTTCTCCCTGAATCCTTACACAGCCACCCGCCTTAACCAGAGCCCCTCTCCCCACCCCCCAGGGAGGTTGTGGATGAGCTGGAAAGGAGCCTGATCCTGGTGTGTCTGGGTTCCCATTTTATCATCTCTGGGAACCTGAGCACCACACCCAAAACATGCCCGAGTCCATGGCCTCGCTCAAGGTAGGAGACAGAAAACACTAGGCAGCGGAGGGATCTCCAGGCACCTTGCTTAGCTGGGAAGGGAGGATGTAGGTTACCAAGGCGCTGCCCCTACACCAAGCCCTGCAGGACTTCTGCTGAATGTGTGTGTGTGTGTGTGTGTGTGTGTGTGTGTGTGTGTGTGTGAGAGCCACCTACTAAGATCTGCCTAATGCTTGCCCCACTAACATGTCCCTCTTCTTTCCTCTTAGCCCAAATTTTTCTAATTTTGAGAACCATCAGTTTTGGGGAAGAAAGAATAGAGTGGTATGCACTCCCTCCTGGGCAACAGGATGGAGCAGGCCCAGGCTGGAACACAATATCATAGACTTGGAGGGACCTAGGCAAGGCCAAAAAAGAGGCTCATCAATGGTGGGGTGCTGAGGCCCTGCCTGGAGCAGAGGGGACTGAACCTACCTCCCCCACCCTGGGCAGTCAGCAGTCACCTCTGCCACTGTTGGCATCATCATCCTGGGCATGGGCTCCCGCACCTTCACTCACTCAGCAAGTACTGAATCCTGGCCAGTGCCAAACGCCATGCTGGCTCCTGGAAATATGATGGAGGCCACTTGGAGGAGTTCCACACCTAGTCCGAGAGTCAGGTTTATAAGCTGCTGGTACAGGATAGTTAGGAAAACAAAAACAAGGCCCTCCCTGCTGGTGCAGCAGGCTAAAGCACAGCACTGCAAGCGAGCTGCAGCCACCTCAGTGTGAGTTCGATCCCCAGCCCCGAAGGTGACCCACATGGCGCAGCAGACCCCTCCTGACCCGCCCGCTGCTCCCCTCAGCAGTGTGCTTTGTCAATATGCCTGTTATGCTCCCCACTCTGTCTCTGGTGAAGCCTCTCACTGGCCCTGCATCCTAGGTCTATGCATAAATAAGTAGATCTAAAAAAACAAAGAAAAGAAAAGAAAACAAGATAGGTTAGGTAGACATTTACTGACCATTGCCTCTGAGCCAGGACATTAAGTGCCCATTGTGCACCCTGGACAGCAGGGACCCAGAGGAAGGCGTGGTGAGCTGTGTTGTGTGTACAGGGGCCGGGGAAGGCTATCAGGAGGGCTTGGGAGAGGTGGGGATATTAGAACTGAGGGTTGAAATACAGAAGGGAGTTTGCTGGGTGGAGAAGAGGAGCTTAGAGGGGAGGGGAGAGGAAGCGTGTGTAGTTACGGGGACTGTGCAAGGACAGGATCGTCTGGTGTGGCGCGAGGGTCAGAGCCGCAAGAGGCAAGTGTGCAGGAGTCAAACGAGGCATACCCCTGGAGGTCCTGAGAGTTCTGGCATTGTAGGAAGGACACTTGGCGCTGTGACAGCTCACACAGAGGAGTGAAAAGGCTGTGGCAGTAACCCAGCTGAGAAATGGCCCGAGCCAAGCAGCCAGCAGTTGGGGGAGATGTGCGTCCACCCACACGGAAGAATGAGATGGAGAAGGAAGCCGAGGGAGGAGGCCAGGATGCTCCCAGGCTCTGCATGGAGAGCAGGTCGTTTTGCTAAGGACATGCGAGCCTGAGGTTGGTTGTGGGGCTGGACTGTGTCGGGTCTGGGCTGGAGCAACCTTGCTGAGAGCCACCAACACAGAATGGCTCTTGAAGCCATCTGGGGAGAAGTACATAGAATGAGGGGGTCGAGGGGGAGACCCTGTGCAGTATCTTGAGAGACCCAACAGTCACAGAGGAGAGGCACCATGGAGGTGACGCAGGAGTCCAGGGAAGGGGACGGAGGGGTAGCCAGGATCGAGCTGCTGCCTTGTCCCTGCAGCACCCCACCCTGTCCTGCTCTGACTCACTCTTCCTCTTCCTCTCCACAGACCCAATGTTTGCCATCCAGCCAGGGCTAGCTGAGGGGGGCCAGTTCCTGGGGGGGCAACCTCCTGGATTATGTCAGCCCAAGCTCCAGCCAGACAGCAACTCCAACTTCATGACAAGTGCCAAGGATGCCAATGAGAATTGGCACGGGATGCCAGGCCAAGGGGAGCCCATCCCGACGAAGAACTCCTCAGAGCTGCTCCCTGAGCACCAGGTTTTCCAGGCCCCTGGACTTCCTGAGGGGGCCATTCGCAGCCCACCAGAGGGGGCGGAGATCCCCGGAGCTGAGCCTGAAAAGATGGACAGTGCCAGCAAAGTCTGCTCCCCTCTGGAGGACAACGGTTATGCCAGCAGCTCCCTGAGCATCGACAGCCCTAGCAGCAACGCTGAATCTGCCTGTGGGTCCCCTCGAGGGCCTGGTCCTACAGATCCCCTTCTGCCCTCGGTGGCCCAGGCTGTGCAGCAGCTGCAGGCTCAGGAGCGCTACAAAGAGCGGGAGAAAGAGAAGCACCATGTGCACTTGGTGATGTACCGCAGGCTAGCCCTGCTCCAGTGGATCCGCAGCCTGAAGCACCAGTTGTTTGACCAGCAGGCCCGGCTGCAAGAGAGCTTCGACACCATCCTTGACAACCGGAAGGAGCTTATCCGCTGCCTGCAGCAGAGGGCAGCAGCCTCGGGGCCCCAGGACCAGGGCTAAGGGTGTGCCTCCACAGGGCTGCAAGGGTGTGTGTGTATCTTTGCAGACATGCGTGTGCTGGTGTATGAGTGCAGGTAAGTGTGAGTATGGATGTGCTAACGTCGGCAGGTGTGTGCAAGCATGTGTGAATCAGCATCTGTGAATGAGCTTGTCTGTGTTGTGCGTTCCCATGTGTACCACAAGCTAACTTATGTACAGACCTACGTGTGAGTGTGTAAGAGGGGACATGTGTGTAGGTAAAAGCATGTGTGATGAAATTTAGATTTGCATGCCCGAACAGATACTCAATAATATGCGTATTGTGGCTGAATGAGGATGGACGTGTGTATACGAGTGAGTTTGTGTGTGCAGGCTTATGGGTGCATGTGAGCAAGTTCTTGTGTGTCCAGGCCTATTTATGGAGCTAGGGGAGAGGCATGTGTGCAGGCACAGACATGGGAAGTGTGAATCTGGAGTATTTTCAGCACCAGTTCAGCACACAAGCAGATGTGTGCTAATATATATTCAAATCACATGAGTGCCCATGCACACCCTGTAGGCACACCCATGGCCTACTCTAGCAGGGTCCCACTGCTCCCTGGCAAAAGGGAGTAAGTAGCCTGCTGTCATCTGTCTGAGGGTGGAGACTGACCCTTCTGGGATTTCCCAAGCTACCTCTCTTCCCTTCCCCGCACTCCTCCCATACCTTTGATCAGGTCACTGTCCCTGATCAAAGATGTTGTGGGAAGTTTGGTGGCTGCTTTGGCCTGCTATGGCTTTTTGGCCACAATTTTCCAGGGCAAATGATAGAGACTTAGTATCAGGGGAAAAAACTAGGGGTAATGATAGAGACCAGGGTAGGATTGGGGGCGAGGTCAGAGAATATAGGACACACTGTCCCTCTAGAACTCTGGCTTTGGGCACATGGGATGTGGGGATGAAGGAGATGATGGTGGCAGAAACCTGTGAAGAACAAGAGAATAGCAAATATAAAATATCAACTCCCAAACAATATGTCTCCATGCAACGGGGCTATATAGCAAACCATTTGATTTAAGCTTCTGATGAAAAGTTGTATGTGCTAGTATGTTATATGTCAATTATACCTCAAATTAAAAGAAAAATGAGGGCCTCGCTGGTGGTGCAGTGGTTAAAGACACAGCACTATCAAGCCAGTGAAACATGAGCTCTAACCCCACTAGGGAGCTAACCCAAATAATGTGGCTCTCCACAGCAGTGTATTTTAGTAGATCAGCCTGTCCTGTTCTCCACTCTGTCTCTGGTGAATCCTCTCACCCCTTGCATCTATGACCTACACCCCAGTTCTTGTACATATAAATAAATAAATCTTTACAAAAATTCAAAGAAAAGGAATGTGTGCTTACAAATTTGAAAGAGTTGGACAGGATGTTCCAAAGCTGCTGGGAACATCTCAGTTCCTCTCTGTGCCTCTAATTGTTGTGCCTGTGGCTTTAGCCACACTGAGTGTTGAATTAGTTAGCTCCATTTTCCTGAAATCAGATTGTCTGGGCCAGAATGGTTCACGGCTTCCTGGGGTAGGCAGGAGACAGTGTCAGCCCAGCTTCTGGAAGCACTTCGGATGCTGGGCCTTACTCCCTTCTGCCCCTGCATGGCCCTTTAAAAGGGAGTTGATAGACTCCTGCAGCACCTGGGAGAATCAACTGCCAGCCAGGCCCCTGAGCTCTCTGCTTCTGGGAGCCCAGAGGAAGCCAGATTGTCCTGGGTGAGCAGTGGCATGGAAGTCTCTGGCACTGCCTTGGGCCTCCAGCCTCCCTACCTGCAGTGGGGGTGCTGCTAGACTCTCTAAGGACTATTTTCTGGACTATCCTTGATGGGCCAGTGGGTGAAGGGGATGGGAAGGCCAGAGAAATAATGGTCCTGGGGATATCATGTTTAGTCCATGCGTGCTCAGTATGAATCCAGCATCTGGCCCAACCCATGATGAGAAAATGGGTAGAGAAATGCATTTCTTGAGTTGGAGTTTCTATTCTACCTGTAGTCTGGGGGCTGTGCCCTCACCCCCATCCCGAGGCTGAGTTCCCCTTCTGAGCAGCAGCCTCTGTTGGAAGCTGGGGATCATTGTAGCGGAGGCACTGGTGAGGAATTCAGCTTGCTTGAAGAGTGTTCTCTCCTTCAGAGCCTCTCTGACACGGGATACTTGACTTCTGCCTGAGCCAGAGGACCCCATATGGGGCTGACCTTGTCCTAACGGCCCTTAAGTGGCTCCATACAGGTGTAGTTCTAATAGGTGCCCATGATTTCAGCAACTCGTTGATGCCAATCTAAACTAGATTGAAGTTACATTCAAAAAGTTCTCAAAAATTCTTGACTTTTATACCTAATAAATTATCCTAAAACTTAGTGACTTAAAACAATATATATTGTTGGTGTTCTGCAGTCAAAGTGTGGGCCCAGGGACTTCCGGCTGCATTTCTTGGGAACACCCATTTCCTCTGGGGCTGCTGGCTGGTGGTCACCTTCAGCTCCTTGCCTTGGGGCTCTTCCAACATAGCGGCTCACTTCATCAAAGTAGGCAAACAAAGAAAGCAATAGAATATCAGCAAGATGGAAGTCTTAGCAACCTAACCACAGACATCCCCTGAATGTCTCCCTGTTCTATTGGTTAGAAGCAAGTTACTCAGAGAGGATGTCACACAAAGCTATAAATTCCCACCAGGGGGTGGGAATCACCAGTCTTAGAGTACACACATTAAGTATATTTTAATTGATTAAATAAAGGCATAGTTTATTATTTTTAATAACACAAATGAAAACTATTTTACTGGTAAAAATGGAAACATTTCAGGGCCTCCCTGGTGGTCTAGGGGTTAAGTCTCAGTGCTATCAACGCAAAGGCCAGTGAGCTGAGCCATGTGGAGCAGCAGACCTCTCCTGACCCACCCATTGCTCCCCTCAGCAGTGTATTTCAGTAGATCTGCCTGTTCTCCCCACACTGTCTCTGGTGAATCCTCTCACTGCCCCCACCCCTGGTTTACAACCCAGTTCTTCTATGCATAAATAAATAAAAATAAATCTTGAAAATAAAGGAATTAATCTTTAAAAAAAAAAAAGAAAGAAAACATTTCAGAGAAATCTCATGTTTCTTTTTATCCCTCTGCAACTGGTACATATATTTTAAACCTTACAAAGTATACTCACTAAAACACTGACCCAGGATATTAATAATTCTTGTCATTGCTACATTTGACACTATCAGAAAATATTAAACCAGATTTTTTTATATCATTCTTCATTTAAACCAGTTTTAACAAATCTATTGAGATGCTCTAACAGAGCCACAAATAAACTCAAATAACTTGAACCATAGACTTGTCTAACAATAAAATATAAAACACTGAGAGCCCAAGAGGATGAATGTTCAGAAAGGACCTTCTGAGCCCCTCCTCTGAGCACAACCAGAGAGAAAAAGCGGACTGTGAAGCCAGACCCCTGGATGTAGGTGTTGGGGTTATGGCTTTCAGTCTCTGTGGCCTTGGGCGATCCATTAACTTCTCTGTGCCTTGGGTTCCTCGTCTCAAAATGGAGCAATAGTAGTCATTACTTCAGGGTTGTTGCATTGCAAGGATTAAATGAATATATACCAAAAGTATGTCAGATACTTAGAACTGCACAGGACGTGTTTACTGATGCCAGTCATTGACCACCTAGGGTCAGGCACTGCCCTGGTGGTGGTAGGCTGGGGAAGGAGACCACAACCAGGTTGGCAGAGTTGGGGCCAAGGAAACTGAGCCGACTAAGTCAAGAATTGCTGTGTCCTATCAGGGACACTGATCATCAGTACTGACCTAGGGAGTACAGAGATGCTGCAGGACTGGTTGAGCATAGGGTGCCTCCAGGGTGGGGCAGACCTGATCCAGGGACATTTGAAACCACTGTTCTTTACCTGTGTTGATTGTATGGCTTAAGTGAGAAAATGAACCTAAAGGTACTTTATATGTATTATGACCGCCCACCTCTGCCAACTGTGCAAGGCCTTGGCAGTCTGGTCCTGCCTGCAGTAGCTCTTGCTTGCTTGCCTGCCTGCATTGTTAAATGAGAATTGCTTCAAATGATTAACTCCCCACTTAGGAGAGGGGAAGCCAGGGCTGGTCCGCAGTGCAGGTCTCGGCCTGAAACCTGTATCCTGGGATGTTGTTTTAAAGTCATTAGGGTGGGAATTCCTCAGTCCTTGGGACAGTAAGGTGAATAGAGAGGATTCAGGTGCCAGGGAAGGGTTTGGCGAGTTTACCACCTTCCTCTTCCTGACCAGGAGCAAGAAAGTCTAACTTGGGTATCTGGTGCTGAGGAGCCTTGCTTAGTAGGGAGAATGAGGGGTGTGATGGGCTGAGCCCCAGAGACCAACAGGGGCAGTGCATGCAACAGAGGCCTGGGCAGACCCTAAGACTGGGCTGAAGCATGGAAAGGGTTGGTGGAAAGGAGCGCAGGGCTTCGCCCTCTGGGGAGAGGAGGAGTTGGATCTGTGGGAAACTTCTCTCCAGGAACAGGAGAATCACCGAGTAGGTGGGCCCCATCAGATGTGCACAAGGAGGGAAGGGAGTGAACAGGTGACTAAGGGGTAATGTGAAGAGTTACAGGGATAAGGAGCCGTCAACATGTGATTGTGGCTCTCCCTGCCTAGAATATCAGGGGCCCTTTCGCACTATTTCTAAGGAGACTAAATGTCTTCTGGTAGCCTATGACCTGTCAGTCTTTTTTCCCAACCCAGAACAGCAGTGTTACTGCCTCTTAATTAGGGCATGAACAGATGACAGGAACAGGAAAGAGGGGAAATCTGTGCGGACCTGGTCAAGGCAGGCTTCCTGGAGGAAGAGCAGCCTAGAGAAGGGGTAGAAACTGAGACAGCGGAGGATACTTATTCTAGGGCACAATGGATGCAGGTGCTTTGGATCCTGCTTGTAAGAGCTATGCCTCATTTTCCTCAACCATACAATGGATTATGTGAGAGTTAAGTGTAAAGGAAGTGGTCCTGATCCCTACACAAGAAGGTGTCCACACATGTTAGGGTTATTATTATCTGATAGGGGAAGATGAGGAGGCCATCTGGGGGGAGATGCACCTGGAGAAAGCGCTGTGTATCCTAAGACTTTGCTGAAAGGGCCTGAACCCCCAGAACCTCGAGTTTGATGGATACTGGTGCTGAGAAGCCGACACGAATGGGTCTGGGAATCTGAGCCAGACCCATACTGCCATTACCCATCAGGCACCCACAGACACGGGCCCCAGACCCTGCCTGTGCAAGCCCACATTCACTATGCTCTCCCAGGACACAGACCCACGTCCCCGCTCTGTTTGCCTCCTCCACCTCCCCAACCCAGTGAAATTAGAGGGCTCCCAGCCTGAGGACTTCCCACAGGCCAGCCAGGGACAGCAGAAATGTGTCTGCCTCGGCTCTGCAGGTCTTAGGGCGTCTCTGGTCAAACCTCACCCTTGCCGCGCTGAGCCCCTAAACCTCCAGGCTCACCACCGGTAGATCCTCTAATCGCTCAATTTTCATTTATCACCAGATTTGAGAAGAGGTTCATGCGGGACCGGTGGCGGCGGGCAGGCAGGGAGCGGGAGGAGGGGAAGAGGCACGAGAGAGAGGCGGGCTGAGGTGCTAAGGTCAGGGCGGGGAGGGGCTCTGTTCCCGAGGGTCTGGCAGCTCCGCGTCGGGGCGGAGAGGCCTCCGGTGGCGTCGTGGGGCGCAGCAGTGGAGCTGCCGAGCGGGGGCGGTCGGGGGAGATGAGCCGGCCTGACCTTGCCCCGAGACCGGTGTTCAGCAGGTGTTCAGAGGTCCCCGGGTCGGGCTCGTCTCCCAAAAGGCGCTGTCAAGGGGGCGGTCTCCCCGGACCCGCGCAGCCTGCAGGCGCACCGGCTCCCGGCCCCAGCACAAAGCAGGAGCGGCGGGACCGAGCCCGCCCCACGCGCCCGCGCACCGGACGGGTGAATCCCACCCGGCGAGCTACGTGTCCTGCGCCTAATCCCAACAAGCGTGAAAACGGCTCGGGCCGCCCTCCAGCAGGCCCTTTGTCCCCGGCCCTCGCTGGGCAGCTGCAGCCGATCTCCTCCCCTTTTGTGTCTCCTCCCCCGCGCACCGCTCGGTCTTCCTCACCTCTGCAGGCTCAGGAAGGCCGCCACTCTCCCAGGCTTCGGCGCTTGGGCGCACAAAGGGGGACAGCACCCCTAATCTGGGAGAAGGAGAGGATTAACCCCAGGGTCCGCGGGGAGGCGTGGGGCTACGGAGTTGG